TTTACAAAGACAAAAAGTTCCTCTTTAATATTCGTAATAAAGACATTTGTCCTAAACAGGAAGTTATGATCTTAGAAATCTAATAACTGTTGTCTTTGATGATTCCAGACCAGTCAGCCTGGAACGCCCCGGCTCTCCCCAACCTTCTCTGGGACAGAAGCCTTGGAGCACCCTCAGGCCCAGCGCGTCCACAGAGGGCCCTTGGGCTTGGTCGGGACCCCGGACGCCCACAGGTTCCCCTCTTACAGCTCGGCCTTCTCCTCCTCCAGTGAAAGCACCACCTCCTCCTCCTCCCCTCCTGACTCCTCCCTCTTCTATCGGCCGGGGCTGGGATCGGTGGCGGGGAGGGGACAGGAGATATGTATTCACTGTATGGATAACCAGGTGATTGCTGCCTTGGTTCCCTGTGGCCATAACCTCTTCTGTCTAGATTGTGCCACCCAGATTTGCCAGGGTCCAGAAGCTGTGTGCCCCGTGTGCCTGTCCCCGGTCACACAGGCCATTCAGCTCCGCAACATCTGATTGTTTTATTTTTTTATCCATTCACTTGGACGGCTGATGAGGAATCAGACCTCCCCAACACTATCAACTCATTTGTGTGGGGGAAATTACAAAACTGACCCGATTCAGATTCTAGGTTTGTCCTCATCAAGCTGGTGTTGACAGGTGAGGAAGAGTAGGTAAATAAGGAATGATCTGTGTTCAGGACATGGGTTTGGCTCTTGAGTCCGTTCATGTGCCTGTTTTTGTGAAGTCTTCTTCCTTGATTGATCAACGCGTGGGTCGGAAGCCCTCTTAGCATCGTGTAGCATCGGGTGGGGTGGGATAAATATATGAATATTTTTATTTCTCATTGTGATTTTTGATTTAAATTTTCTCCTCCCTGAAACATCTTGTTATCAGTTTTTGCCTACCTACATTTTATATATTTTTTTAAATGTTCTTTGAACCCTTTTAAATCTCTATATTGAACTCCATAATGTTGGCTTTTTGGGCAAATTTTTTGTCTACATCTCAAAAGTTTTTTTTTTGTTTTCATTTGCTGAAACATGGCCCAGCCCCTTTGCCTCGAAATTAATTTTGCTCATGGCAAAGAAACGAGGCATACATGTTAACATACAGCGAGTCCCACACAGATTAATAGTATTCTCTATTCTCTCGTTACTGCAGCATTTGAATGCCTACCACAGTAAACTGGATATGTGCACATGCTACGTTATTCTGGCTGATTCCTCTGTCCCAGATATTTGTTGTTATTATTATCAGGCTGGTAAATTGTATTTGTGTTACCTTGAATCAGACAGGGTGTTTACATGCTACAGATTATAAATCAGAAGTTTTGATTATCGCTGATAATAACAACATATTGATTCGCGTGCAAACACAGTGTTTTTAAACGAAGCAGGTTAAAGTAGTGTTCACTCCCCGGTGGCTGTTTCTCGTTGCCACTTTTTCTCTCTCTCTCCTAGATATGAACCAACAAGAAGGTTATTCCTCTTTCTATTGTAAAGTACCAGGATGTTGCACCACTTCACCACCGCCACGTTGCTTTCTATTCCTACTAAACTGTTTACGGTAAACTTGTGCCTAATTCTGTTCTAAGTAAACAAAAAGAAAACAACTGGTCCAGCTGACACACAGCGTCGCTCTGTCTTAAAACAAACTTGTGGCCTTTTTTTGGAAAGCCTGTAATTAGCTGACGACGTTACCTATAAATCTAATCCAGATCCTGGCTTGAAAGAACACAAGCCGACAGACTGAAGTCTTAAAGTTTAATCTCTTAAACGCATCTTCGTGGAACAAAGATTATCACATGGGTGCTTTCTGTCGCTTCCATTTTTTGTTGAGCTTTTCAAATGTATTGGCCAAAAACACATTTCCCCCCCAACATCAAACACTCCCATTTTCTTATATTTGTCACCTCATTGTTTTTTTGGCCTTTTAGTCAATATCTCCAATTCATCCTGGTTTGGGAAACTGTGCGGGTTTTGTACCTTTGGTAACATTAGTCCTCCCCTGCATTAGTTACTTTATTAGATGGTCACATAATTAACACTTGATCCTCACCTGGGAGCCAAAAGAGCTGATATTGTATGAAACTCTGAAGAGAGATGTGATGTGGAACAAGTCCCTGTACTGTACAGACAGGCTGACTAAGCCATATCTACAGTATTCTTTTCTTTCACTTGAATGTTTCTCTCGGACTGCTCCACCCTGTGGCCACCTCGCCACAGCCATTTTGTGTCCTTGTTGGTAAGCACTCGGCAACAATAATTCCATTTGGATGCACAATTGAAATGGCCGACCCCCTAATCGCATCACTTTAGTCTGTTTTTATATTGTACATTTTTTTTGCCATCTTCCAGGCCTATGCAAAAACCTTCTCAGTATCTTGAACCACCGGAGGAAACATTCGATAACTGAAACTCCTGCTTTTCTTTACAGAGCTCAAACAACCTTGTCGACAGGTGATTCCCAATCATTTTTTCTACTACATTTGAAACGGGGTTAAACTTCATCCCTTGCTTTGCTGCATTGATGAGACACTTCAGCGGTACACACTTTGTTTCATCAGCTCTTTCACTGTCGTCTTCGGCCCAACGAAGCAGAGCCTTCTCCCCCGTATCACACTAGCTGCTAGTTGGGACTCCACACACATTGAGAATTTAGTTTTTTTTCCCTCTTAAACATGTGCGTCTCTCCACCTCTCTTCCCGAAAAGGTACAAATCAGTGGGAATCATCTCAAACTTTAGCTTTAATCACCGCTGTTTCTCTGGACTTTGTTTTTACAGGAGTTAATGAGTTGTTGGAAGATTTCAAAAAAAGAGGAAGCAGCTGGAATGATTTTCATCTCAAACTCTGCTGACACTACATCAGATCAATATTGTTGCTTTACCGTGTGGACTCTGGGCCGCTGTCCCTCGAGTATTCCAGCTGTAAACAGTATTTGGGAGCCATTTCATTGCTTAGCTCTCTTTCGTAAATATCTTTGTCTTACATCTGTGATTGAGGTTTCTTGGGGAAACGGAACCAAACGAGTCCGTAAAGTGCAAAAAAACCCATCAGCTTCTGCTCCCTCGTGTCGTCTATCCGTCCTTTTTCCTTCACTACTCTCCGCTCTACGAAGGGTCGATCTTTCTTTGCTCTCTTTGAGGGAATGCAATATCCCGTCGGCCCTCGGTTTCACATGAATCTATTGACAATTTTGTGTATGTATAATATAATATTACTGTTAATGACTGATA